CCGGGGTCGCCCGGGCTGCGGGAGCGGCGGCCTCTGCCCCGCGGTGCTTTCGCTTGGGGGGCGGGAGGGCACCTGTGGCCGCGCGGGTGGGCAGCGCTCGCTGCGACGCGCAGTGCGGGGGGGGGTCCCCCTCGCCCGCCCTCACCCTTCCTCTCCGTGGTTCCTTCTAACCCTGTGGGACTTGCTGGCCACTTCCCTCCGGGCGCGTGACAGCGTCCCTGGGAAAGGTTTGTTGTGGGTTTGCAGTGAATTTGGCGGCAGAGCGCGCGGCTCGGGGACCAGCGCTCCCCGCTGGCGCGCCCTCGGGTGCTGCCTCCCGGGTGGGTAGGGCTCCTCACGTGTTACCCGGTTCCGACAGACCTGGAGATCTTGGACAGTCGCTAGAAGAATCTGCTTGCAGACTTGTTCTTATTAGGGCGTTTACCCCACTTTCTAGAATGATAGTGTAGGAAGCCGGCGTGTCTACCTTGACCATTAGATAGAATCTAATGGATCTTGTGTCTACACAAAAGCTGAGAGGAGGAATCGCCGCCCTTCCTTAGCTGTACCGGCCCACAGAGTCGCTGCGAGGGTTGAACGACTCGTGTGTGTAAGGTGCTAGAACAGCGCCCGGTAAGCGCAGCCAGGTGTTGGCACTGCTTGTCCCAGCCCCGCGGAGACAGGAGAGGAGCCACACGGAGGGCAGTAGGAGTGGCAGCCAGAGATGGGGAACCTGGTGTTTGCGGAGTTACTTCTGTCTTCGAAGTAGTGAGCTGTGTGGGAGGAGATAGGTCTCCAGAAGAGGTAAAATTTGGGCAAGACTTTATCTTCCTGCCATGGTACTTCAGAAAGGAACAGTTTCTTCAGCGTGAACCCGGCTTTCTTTGGGTAATATTGCTTGACGTTGTTGAGCCTCTGTGTAGACATTGCTGTCCTTACTGGCACAGTTGCACATAAACCCGTGGTAATAAGCCCTACCAGCCCCGTTTTAGGGATAAGGCAGCACAGGTTAAGCTTCCTGCCCGAGTGCGCCAACACCTGTGAGTCCTAATTCCTGAGCTAGTTTGCTCAAATGGACTCAGGCAGCAAGTGCAGTCAGGTTTGTGTGCAGGGAATCCATGGTCTTCTCCCATTGCCCAGCTTCCTGTTTGAGTTGAATACATCTTTCAAAATACATAAAATATCTGTGATTAATTTAGATAATTTAATATATACCTACTATATGTACTTATGAGATGTCACATTGCAGCTCCTCTGAAACTGGCTCCAAATTATTATAAATAGCTCCCTGACTTGTATTAATATAGCTCTTTAGTTTTAATTTCTTTTATTAATTCTCCAGACATTGTTGATCACCATTACTTGGCTTCCTTAGGAAACAGCTTGAGGTTGGCACTGGAGGTAGGGAAATAATTCTTACCCCCTTAAGGGCTATTAAAATGGACTTGATTTCATGCCATTGTGTCAGTTAAAGGATGTTGCTGTGTTTCTTGGTGTTCTTTGCTTTTGGCTTTAATTATTCATTGTTTAGAGTTTCAAGGTTTCAGCATATTTTTTGCCCTTCAGTTTATCTTTGTCATTTGTCAGCCTTTATTTTTCCTGTTGTGATGGAGTCCGTTACATGGTAGCTTCACTTAACGACTGTTGATTCGTCTTATGTTTCTTAAGCATAAAAACCATCAGCTTACTTTTGAACCCCAGAACTTCAAAGCAATCCCTGGGGAATTCATTGTTATTTTAAAAATTTGACCAATAGGGGGAGCACAATATACTGTTGTATTAATGTCCAGCACATAGGCTGGTTTGTTGCGCATTAAGCATACACTGGGTTGGGCCTTTATCTAGCAAATTAACCAAGTCCCTTTCTGAATTTGCACTGGAGAACTGGATTTAATTTCAACTGATGAAAATAACAATGACCTTGAGGATAGGGCCTGTATGTTGGCTACATGTCAAGAACTCTCTGGTGGCTGGACAGATATTAAACACATACATACATACATAGGGTTTTTTTTTCAGTTTGTTTCCATAAGAGTTATATATGTAAAATAATTTTGTGTAATTTGAATAGTACGTCAGGTTATTTAAGAGAAATGGCAATCCAGAGAAATCCATTATGAATCCCTTTATAATGATCCTCATTTATCTTTTGCATAAAACTGTTTATGATTCTCAGAGAGGTTGGTCCACTCACGATTCTGTCCTTATTATCTTTCATTAATGTCTTACAAATGCAAAATAATAAAGGATTGTTAGGCTTAAATTATAATAATTTCATTACTATACATTCTTCAGAGACATGTGTTTCAAGTACAGAATGAACATACCTCATCTGCATTGCTTGGGGTCAGAATGTTGTCGATTTCTTCAGAGCTTAGAATACATGGTCATACAGTATAAGCTCTTTTAGGACTGTGACCTAAGTCCAAATTTAAAATTTATGTTTTATACATGCCTTATGTTCATATCCTAAAGGCAATTTTGTACAGTATTTTTAGAGCATCTGCATTTGAATTTTTACTTGTGTCATATTGGTGCTGAAAAAGTTTTGGATCTTGGAGTATTTTGGAGTTTTGGATCAGAGATGCTCAATATGTATATAGTTCAAAATATATTTGATACTACTTTTGGCATATATGATGTGTCTGTCTCTGGGTGGTCATGCCTGTAAATACATGTATAAATAATATTTAAGAATTAACATGTTTGAAAAGTCAGTCAAACTAACTTTTTAAAAAGCATTTCTATCCTTGCAACTTTATAGGCAAATTTCTCTTGTGTTGTGTAATATTGATTTAACTTCAAGTTAGGGTCAGTTATTTTTAAAATAACTTCAAAATTTAACCCCTTCAATCTGAACAACTAATTGAAAGACACCATATGCAATACAGCAATCATTGTTGAATTCCTATTCATTTGTTTGGTGAAGTTTTGTATCATTTCTAATGTTTTTCTTTTGTATTCTTTTTAGATAATAAAAAAGAAGAAAATATAGCTGAAAAAAATTTAGTCCCTTCTTTCTATATTTCTCTGTTCCAACATTGCCCTTAAGCTGCAGGATATTTATTTTAGATCTCATTTAGTCTTCCACATTCTGATCTAGTTTGTTTAATTCCACAAATGTTTATCAACCCTATGCCCACTAACTGGCATGTTGTTCCTGGTTTTGGAGCTTGGCAAAGTAGATGTCCACATTCAGTTCTCTGATAGCAGGGGACCAAGATACCTGAGGAATGTTTAGGGCTCTGTCATGGAAAGGTTTTTATTCTCCACTTTGAGACAGAGTCTTGCTGTGTAGTTCATGTTTGACATGTAGTTCATGAATTTGCTCTCTAGCCTGGGCTCAAACTCATAGCACTCCTCCTGCCTCAGCCTCCTGACTGCTGGGATTACACCATGGCTGGCTGTCATGACAATCCTGGTTTTCTAGCAGGAAACTATTGAGTTATTTTCTTTAAAACTCAAGCAGGAACTCATCTTTCCTCTTTGCATGCAAACTTGATTGTATCTTATAAAAGTCAGGTGATTGTGAGCACAGACTCTAGGCCTAAGAGACTGGGGAACTCAAATATCCTTTGTCTTCTAAGAAGGTGATCACTGTTGACTTCTTTAGTAGCTACGTGGTGACTGATTTCCTGGGATCATAAAACTATGAAAGATTCTGACTCCATTTTAAGCCTAACAAAATAGTTAGAACTTAGAAAAAGGCTGGGCAAATAGAAACCTTGCTGTAGTATTTTTCCTGGATGGTTTTGCTGGATGGTCATTTTGAATTACCCTTGTTCTCTATAATTTGTTTTGAAATGTAATTTTTCATGGCTATTGCACAAAAAATTATAATTGTCAGATTTATTAGTTAATAGAGGACAATCTTTCTTCTTTTACTCTTAACAGTTTTACCAATTATTTTATTGCCATTTTCATCAGTCCACTGGAATATTTTCCTTGTATTTGCAAACATTAAATTTTTTTGAAATCTAAAAAATGTTAACTCTTTCTTAAAATTTGTATAATCTGAGCTGGGCAAATATTTTTAGGGTCTTTATCTTAAAATCAGTCTTGCATAGGAGTATGAACAACTAGGAGTGTAAGAGTGAGTCCAGGCTCTATGAAAAACTAGCTTTACCAGGTTTATTGAGGGCATTTGTGTCTTGGGAGAAGATTATGTGCATGAAGATCTGTGGCCCTAATTTCTTGGGTTCCCCATCTTCAGAGTAACACTTGGAATGATAGCACTACTTCTTTGTAGCGTTTCATAAAACACAAGCTGTTGCTAATTTGTTGAGTTTCCAGAGAAGTTGAAATAAATCAACACTAGTTGGAAGGGTTTTACAAAAAGATTTGGGTTCATTTCCTGGGCTCTGTCCATGTCTACATTTCTTGTTTTATATTTTTTGAAATAGCACATTTGCTTGTTAACTAACGTTGAGCTTTGTTTTTTCTGCTTGCAGAATGTGTAAGATTTAGCACAGATTTCAGTCACCCCCATCCCACCCTAGAGACTACTGATTTTTTCCCTTGCTATGTCAACCAAGATGTGTGCAATATTTCATGTTTGGAGCAACACTAATATAAATTCTGTCTGAGGCCATGCTCATTTGGACCTCACTCTGCGTGTTTTATTCTGAAGTGTTGTAGGCCAAGATGGAGACTTAATAAGCTGACAACTACTTATAAGAGTTAGAGACCATATTTGAAATGGAAGGTCTGAAACAAGAACCCCAGAACCATCTCTCCAGGCCATCCTGATATAACTTGATGATAAATGGCCGGATAAGAGGGAAAAGACTAATGGTGTTTGTGCCAGC